GCTCTCTGGTTTCATTTAAAAGAGTAGATCATCAGATATTGTCCAAGATTAACCTTCAGGGTGGATATAGCTCGCTCACACCGAGGACCTATCCACGTCATCATTTACCCAGAATGCTTTGTGTGTAAATGAAATGACTCCATCTATGTTAACATATATTTTAAAAATGTACAAAAACTAAACATCCTACAGTATTTTTACAGTCTTTATTTTACAGTTAAAATAGATGTTTATCAAATAAAATCTAATGTTACAACTGATCAGGGAGCCCTTTAAATAATAAAAATGTGTTTTCAACGAGGCACTTTTATTTTGAAAGGTACGCTCCCTGTGGTCGCACATCGATGCGATGCTGTTGGCCATCAAAGAGGAGCAGACCGCCATGGAAGCTGTTCTGAAGGGGGACGTGGACCAGTACGTCCTGGATGGAACGGACCGGGTCCTGAACATCCCTCGCTGCCTTCAGGAGCGGGTCGAGCAACTCCCACATCAGGTGACCTTCAGGGGGTCTTCGGCTCACAGCTCTGTCCTGAAGTGAAGCTGATGGTTTGCAGAAAGTCACACTTTTCTGTGTCTCCTAGTTGAGTTCGGGGAGCGTGTACGAAGCCGGCCAGCTGAACCTCCTCTGCGTCGTGGAGCTGTTCAGCCACGCCCTGCAGCTCCTGAAGGAGCAGCGCCGTCAGGTCTCCACTGCCTCAGAGTCCTGGCCCAGTCCTCAGGACCTGCAGGAGAAGTGTCAGCAGATGTCCCGGGTGCTGCAGGAGCTCCRCCTCCTCAGGTACCAAACAGGCTCATTTGATGCGTTAAACTTTTGTTTTTTTAATCCGAGAAGCTGAGTGTCGCTCTGCGTCGTCCCTTCAGGCAAAAACTCTCCAAGGAAGAAATTCCAGAGATCAGGACGTCCATCAGAGAGCTGGAGGCGGACTGGGACAAGAGGTGGACAGAAACTCTGAAAGAAACCCCTCTTGTTTCTTTCCTGAATGAAGATCCTGTGAGCACGTCTTTGTGTTTTTACAATGTTTCACAAGCTTTGTWTCATGAGGTTAACACTRRGGCTGCCACAAACGATTATTTTTACAATTGATTAATCACTGATTATTTTTTTTGATTAGTCGACTAATCAGATCATACATTGAATATAAAACATAGAGCTTATCCTGCCAGAATGCAGCTGCTATTATATAACCATGGTTAGATTTTAGCTAAATGCTAACTAAAAATAATTGCTGTGGAAGGTAAGTTCTGCTCTGCAGATATTACACAGGTTTMTCTTTCATTTTCTTAAAATGATCCCACACTTTGAGCTCTGTTGTCAGGTAGCCATGATACCAGAGCCTGTCTGTATAATGTCTTGTGACGTCCACGGCCTACCCCAGTTACCACTACTGTGCATGTGTGTCAAGGACAGAAAGGCAGATGTGGCAGTGGAAGGTGTCAAAGCAGTTTGGAGAGAAAAACAAAGTAAAGAACAAAAAAAAAAAGATTAATCGATWATTAAATTGGTCATCGATTATTTTAATAATCGATTAGTCGTCGATTAATCGTTACAGCCCTAGTTAACACTGAGGCTGTAACGGYAATAAGTCCCAGGTCTGAAAAGATTAAAGTCGGCTGAGTTTGTTAAAAATCATGTTCAAAGCTGAGCAGCAGCTACTGTTTGATTTCTTTTTTATTTTATCTAATATTTGATATGTTTTATTATTATTTTTAGGCTTTTGGTTTCCTCTCACCGATGGCTCCGCTCTCTTTTGAACCGGCTGCTGAAGCTTCTTACAGAAGTAGTGTCTTCTCACAGTTTCCTGCCAAACTTCCTGGTGAGTAGAGCTGATGGTTTTTTTTCTTCTATCTGTATTTAAAGAGGGTTGTTGTGTATTTAACAGACACATAGTTCAGTTTTATACCACAATCGTATAACTGTTAACTTCAGTTATGTCGCATCATCTAAACCAGTGATTCCCAACCAGGATTTTGTGAGCATATTACGGGGGGTATGTGGAAAAATTTACCAGGTGTAAAAAAAAAATAATAAAAATAGGACTGGGATATGTAGGGCCCTATGCTTTATGCAATGCAGAAATAACAGATTTGACACAAAATGGAATCCAGTATAAAACACAGAATCTCATAGAATTTGCTCATTTGGTCGAGTTTCTGATGTATTTTGGACGCTGCTGCTTCCTGCAGCTGCCGTTACCTGATTTATTTATTTAATTACTCATACATTTTCAAGGCAATGTATTTATCTTTTATCTTTATTTGAAAAGAATAAAATGCCTGAAAACAAAAACATTCTAGGGGGGTTAAATAAATAATTTTCATTTAATAATCAGTTGTTGTACATTATGGTCTTGGAGAATCATCATTATGTTTGACAGAGGGGGTACTAGTGGTACGACAACATGGCTCAGGGGTACACAAGTTTAAAAAGGTTGGGAACCACTGATCTAAACGCCTTGAAATTAGCCTCTGTCTCTTTAAGAACGTCCTGCCGTTTCTGACACTCCCACTTCAGCACATCGTCACAACAATGCTTCATGCCGTTTACAACTTTTCACAGGAGTTGAGCTACTTTTTGCAAAAAACAAACTATAGGTTTCATTATGAAGCCATAAGGGTATCCGCGGGGTTGTAAAAAGTATTAAAAGGTAGTAAATCAAATAAGCAAAAA